CTCACACTAAAAATAATAGTAATAGAGTGAATACTTGTGAGCTATTATTTATAGACAGTTTACATTGGTATAGAGTCTTGTATATTGGTAAAAATTCAAATTTTGTTATATTGAATAGGCTTTTATTTCTGTTTACAATATTTGTACACCTATGTAAAGTTATTTTGTCATATTGTATGCATGCATGTTTCCACCTCTGTTTAAGACAATCTGTATATTGGTATAGTTTTAGGATATATTTATCATATTGCACTATACATTTCTACCTCTGATCAAGATACTTATACATTGCTCACATTTTGAGTTTATTGTCCTCATTTGCTGTACAGTCATTTGAAGATGGTTTAATATTCATTCTAATATGAAGTCCTAGTCTTTAAGCTATACAGAATTTAGTATTATAGGTCAATAGTCATCCATGTTTGTCATACTTAAAGTTCATCAGGTTCTTTAGATACATAGAGATTATATCCACATAGATAGGTAATCTTCAACCACTTCAAAGAACTGTAGAATATGGCATTTAAATAACTTAGGATTTTGTTGACATGAGACATGGTTGCTCCTGGCAGCACCAATCTATTCCTGAGAGAATGTTGGAGCTTGTTTTCTTCTTGTCAAAACTGGACTTTGTGGATAGAACTGCCCCTGCCTCAACCACTGACAAAATGCACAGTGTCCAGACTGGACAAGCAGGGTAAAACAGTTTTTTAAAATTTTCCTGCCACTGAAAATGGTCTGTCAGTTACTCTAGGCCTTAGCCAAAGTTGGTTGCTCCAACATTGCAAATGAGACTTTGGGTGATTTCCCAGGTAGCAAGTTGTCTCTGTCATTTATTATACATTTTGGAAGTTGCTTGATTACACTTCCTATCTATTCAAGTAATATTATCTTCCTTCTCAGGTCTTCGATGAGGTTGAAGACTAGATAGTCGTAATTACTTTCCTGTCATGACTTAGCCAAGCCATTTCTAATACAAGATTTAGATTCCTTAGGATAGGATAGCTATTGAAACATTTAGAATATGTTTCTTGCTTGATGTTGTTCATGCTGCTTATAATTCTAATTTTTATATATGTTTGATATTTGTTCTTATTGTGTGTAGTTTTGTGTTAGGTTTAGAACTCTCTTATTTAGACAAAAGGGGGTGGTGCTGTGAGAACTCCTTCAGCCAATGGCCTTTAAGATACTGACCTACTTTGGGTGTAGTTTCTTATACTATAAATGCAGACATAAATCATTCACAGGCTTTTTGATAGCTGGATTCAGTTCCAGTTCCCTGCTCATGCAGAGGACTGCTGATCACTGCTTTTTTTTTTTTTAGTTTACCACTAAATAAATAAAACTTTATTACACTCCATTCTGGGCTAGTCTAGGACTATTTTATTATAAACTGCAACAGATTTCCTTAGTTATGATCAAAGATAAATTAGGTATAAAACTTTAGACTAAAAAATAGAATCAATTATGGAGTATTTTCCTTAATTTGTCAAATGTATATGGACTAAATATTTTAACTATAATTCTTGCTTGATATCTGTACTGGCTGCTCTCCCAAGGACCTAGGTTTGGTTCCCAGCACCCACATGGCAGCTTGTAACTGTTTGTATAACTTCAGTTCTAAGGGAGTAAACACATACAGGCAGGCAGAATGCCTATATGCATTAAAAATATTTTAATAAAATTAGATTTTAAAAAGTACATGGCACCTGAGAATTGACACCTGAGCTTCATCTCTGACATGTGCACCTGTACACATCTGGCCATGCATAAAGGCATGCACACACATGTACTCACGCACAAACCAACTTAAGTTTCCTGCTGACACCACACATCCTGTCCAGGATGTCTACATGGGTCTTTGTGGTCAGAACGCAGGCTCTGGAGACAGGCTCAAGTCTACACTGTCTCCTGGCAGCCGTACTGTGGTGGTATTGATTTACTACTCATTGTCTCAACTTTGGGCAACCTATAAAACCAGTCTCTCTGTCTTACAGGATCTGAGGATGAGGTTCAAGGATCCATTTCAAAAGCTTAAAATAATGTGTGATGCCCAGGAAGTAGCAGTAGATACAGAAGGCTCTAAGTATACTGCTTTAAAGTATGTAATGTGCCTGGTTTTGGCTATAGCCACCATATATGCAAAAGATCTCCAAACCATGCACCCTGTCTAGAACTGTACACTGATTTTATGGCCTTCTTGTGTTATGGATTCTTCTTTGGGGTTTGGAGTTGGAGGGACCTGTACCGTGAGAATAGCACAATGGCCACCTTTCCTTGATGGCTTTGGTTCCCAGTCATCCATTAAATGCCTGGACTTTCCACAACAGCCTCAGGCACAGATAAATTGTTTACTTGAGATGTGAGCCTATATGTCTTTTCCACTCGGCAGGAAATGGGGCCATGCTGGTGGGTGTGAATGAAGTCTAACTGTGTCTGCCTCCTGCAGCAGTCTGGGGAGGGCAGGTCCAGGCTACCAGGGGATCCACAGAGGAAGGTTATACCCAGCATGAATGCATTGGCTGCTGCTGAGTGGTCAGAACCAAGCATTTGCCCGGCTTACCATCCTCACGGCCTGCTGTGTCACTTACAAGCACAGAGCACAAGGAGGACACATGGGAGGAGGTCAGAATTCCTCAGAAGGAATGCCTGGTGTCCTTCACCATGTTACACACAACTTCTATAGCTCCTAGTTTGTTTTGTTGGGTTTTGAGGGGGTAGGTGTGTGTGTGTGTGTGTGTGTGTGTGTGTGTTTATATGTATCTGTATAATGCATGTATATGTCTATCTGTGTGTGTGTGTGTGTGTGTGTGTGTGTGTGTGTGTGTGTGGTATATGCCCAGGTGTTCTGATAGGCACACAGAGCCTAGAAGAAGGTATCAGGTGTCTGCACTGTGACTCTGTCTCATTCCTTTGAGACAGGATCTCGTACTGAACCCAGCTACACTGGCTGGCCAAGGAGCCCCAACAATCCTCTTCCACCTTACTCCCAGCCCTGGGGTTACAGGCACTTGTGGCTGTCCCCAGCTTTTCATGTGGCTCCTTGGAATCCAAACTCTGGTCCTCATGTGTACACAGCAGGCAACTCATCCACTGAGTCACCACCTCCCCAGCTCCGCTTTTGATTGGTGGTTTCTGTTGTTTCTGAGACAGTGTCTTGCTATGCAGTCCTGGGGGTGGAGAGACTGAAAGCATATGAAGCAGGGTAACTTTCCATGTCGGGTAATTGTGAGCACTCCACCCTGCTCCCCTGAGACTTCTATAACCTATTCATGGAGGAAGAAGCAGCCCTGAGTTCCAATTCAGCTCTGCAGGTCCTGTCCTGTGCCTGAGGGAAGTACCTGGCCTCAGAGCATTGGCCGCTTGTTTAGAAAACATGCCAAGAGAGACCTGTCTCATAACGTGGTGGTGGGGATTAAATGTCATAAATTCAATTAATTTATTGATTGCAACATCTGAACACTGCACTTACCTGAGTACAGCCTGTGAGGGGGGAGGGGCTCTCTGGACTCTGACTCAGTCTCCAGCTGAGCTCTGGGTTTTCCTGGCTGAGTCTCACTGTTCTCATTAAGGTTGTCTAGGCCCCAGCAGTCACTGCCCTGGGAACCCTAAGTTCTCAAGGTAAGCAAGAATGTCTCTCTAGTAGCCAGCCTACCTGGACTCTGGTCTGTCATCTTCCAGGCATGGGAGAAAGGACCCAGAGTCACTGTCAGGGTGGAAAAGCCCCACTAGGAGAACAAAGTTCATCAATCCACGAAAGTTCGTCTTTCATCCATCTGGCCTGCATAGGGTTTTGGAACCACCCCATCTGGATGAGTTGCTAAGACTGAGAAACCAAGGACTTTCACCTGACCCTGTGCCCACACTCCAGCTTTGGCAACAATGCCTGCACTAGGGAGCTGTTCCCCTTAACACTGGGTTCAAGTGCTCGCCAATCCTACCTGGGTTTCCAGCCAGGGCCTGTAGGCATGCAGTTTGTACCCTCAAGCTGGCGGCTGCTGCACAAATCTGTGTACATGTGTAGGCAACTTCCAGAGTTCCCGTCACCCCACTTACTCGCTGCCCAGTGTCTATACCCCACACAGAGGTTACCCCACTTACTCGCTGCCCAGCGTCTATACCCCACACAGAGGTCACCCCACTTACTCGCTGCCCAGCATCTATACCCCACACAGAGGTCACCCCACTTACTCGCTGCCCAGCGTCTATACCCCACACAGAGGTCACCCCACTTACTCGCTGCCCAGCGTCTATACCCCACACAGAGGTCAGCCCACTTACTCACTGCCCAGCGTCTATACCCCACACAGAGGTCAGCCCACTTACTCACTGCCCAGCGTCTATACCCCACACAGAGGTCAGCCCACTCACTCACTGCCCAGAGTCTATACCCCACACAGAGGTCAGCCCTGCTGAGATGAGTCTCCGGTGCTTCCCTTCAGAACGGTCTCTCTACTGGGTGCTAGATACCCTGTGCTGTTATGTGAATACTTCTATTCCCTCCAAAATTATCTTGAAAGATTAATTTTCAGTGAACTGTGTGTGGTGGAAAGCAAGGCCTTACAGAGGTGTGTGGGTCACAAGCCCACCCCTCTTTCATCAAATTAATGTCACTATAAAGCCAGTTTTCAGGACTGAGTCCCCTCTCCTCTTAGGCTTTTTTTGCCACACTGTCCTTCCCCTCCAGATGATGCAACATTCAAAATGCCGCATTGAAAGCAGAGAACAGGCTTCTCACCTGCCAGTGCCTTGACCGTGGGGCTTCCTGTGAGAAACAACTATCTTTCACAATTAGTCTGTGGGGCCTTGATCGTGGGGCTCTACGTCTTTCCCATACATGGGCCAGCCTGCTGTGTCTAGCAGTGAGTGTTGGCTCTGCTCCTTAGACTGCAGGAGACTTGGAATAGCAGGTCAGACAGCAATCCTACACCCCATGAGAGTGGTCCCCAACATCAGCAGAGAGGACAGACGTCATAAGATTTACCATGCAAGTAGGCACTGTATGTGACGTATGTTCCAGGAGCAACAATAACAGTAGTAAAGACAGAACAGAAAATAACCATCTTCGAAATGACAACAAACAGGACACATTATCTAAGCACTAACACCTAAGGAGGTGGCTGCCCAGCTCTGGAGGGCAGCTCCTCAGGAGACAGGGGCCGACTTTCCAGGTTGCCTGGTCTTCTTCAGTCCTTGTAATTTTTCATCTTTCAGCGCCTTCAGGAATTTATCTGCAGGAGAGCAAAACAGACTCAGCTGTAGCTGGGAAAGGCTTTTGGTTTGTTTCTCAAGGTCTTCCTATGTAGCTCCAGGCTGTTCTGGATCTCCTGATCCCTCTGCCTCAGCCTCCTAAGTACTGGGAGGCGTGCACCACCTCCGCTCAAAGGAGGAATCTTCTAACTTCCAGGGCAAGCTTCTGAGAAGCAATTGTGCACAACCCTAAATAAAGTCTCCTTAGCAGCCCAAACACATCTAATCATATGAGTGAAAAAACTAACTCTAGGGACGTCTCCTGTGCCTATGCAAAAGAGTATCCTACAGGATGAATTGGAGACCATTCCCATGGCTGTTCCAACCTAAGTTGGTCTTTTTTCATACTTCACCTCCCTGTGTGGCAGAAGGGAGTAACTTAACAGGTGAAATGGTCTTTCCAGTGATATCTGTCCTCCTCTAGTAGTCAAATTCAAGCCTTAGAACAGATGGCGAAAAAGGACAGCCTATGACTACGAAAGCCTGAACAATTGGCCCTTCTGGAAATGCAGTTGGATTTAACTCCCTAGCTGCCCAGTAGAGAGGAATCAGTTCATATTCCAGAGGACTCCTGCTTACACCAATACACTTGGTCAGCTCTGGGGTAGATCCCCAAAACCTGAGTCCTAAGATCAGATGTCAGAGTCCAAGATTCTGTCAGAGGGCTCTAAGGCATGGGGCCCATGGAAGGGCAGAGGCCAGGGCTCCTCATTGAATGACTGAGGGCCTTCAAGGTTTGGGCAGTTCCTACCATCTCTTCCCACCCACAGACTCCAATTTAAGACTGAATATTGAAGATTAAGGCCTCTAGAGATAGGCAGCCTGTGGTGGGTGAAGTTCCAGACCACAGAAATGTGGTACTGTTTTGTAGGAAGGTGAAGTTTAGGAAGGGGGTACTTCAGGTGTCAAGACCCAAAGGGTGAGCCCCTGAGGGGTGGGGTTTAACACTAAGGACTTGAATAACTCAGGTGTATTGAGGCAGGGGTCGGTTGAAATTCAGCACGTGGGGGTCTGGACCTTTGGAGGGCAGATTTTGGAAGTGGGACTCTGGGCTGGGGACAGTCTGGGGTCACATTCTGGCGACTGATGGACTCTAGCGGACAATTAGGGCATCTAGGGTTGGGCTCGGTTGGCGGTCACGCACAGCGCTGGGAGTCGAAGCCGTCTCCAGTGATGGTGAGCAGCTCCAGCTCCTTAATCCGGATCTCTAGCTCGCACAGCTCCTCGGGGTGGGAGGCGGTGGCGAGCCAGGAGGTCGTGGAGCCGGGTACTAGGGCTGAAGTTGCCGTCTCGGGCCCTGGCGGCGGCGAGTAGAAGAAGCGCAGAGGCTCATAGGGTATAGAGGCCAGGCCGGACGGCCAAGGAGGAGGGCACGGACGCTCGCTGGGGGGACCCAGGCCAGGAGGCGGCGGCACCGTGGCTGGGGGCGCCAGAGGCAGGGGTCGGACCCCCGCTATCCCCGCCACCCCGGCCGCCGGCGCCCCGCCCGCCTTCAGTGGCACAAAGAGCTTCTTCCAGATGTTAAAGTCGCTCAGCGGAGACGACGAGATGCCCCGGTCATAGAGTGACGGGAAGTAGAGGGGCGGAGCCGGCCGCTGGCTCATCTTGGGGTTCTGGCTGCCGCGCCGCCCCTTCGGCATCTTTTGAAAGGGTGGCTGCGTGAGAGGAACCCCGCGCCGGGAGACGCGTGCCAAGGCCCCGCGTCTGGGAATTCGGAGATTCCACAGGCCCCGCCCCGACGGAGCGCGGCCCCACCCTTCGCTCTCGCCCCGCCCCGAGAAGGCGGGGCTCTCGAGAGCGAAGGCCCCGCCCCGCGAGCTGCCTGGGCGGAAAGCCAGGTTCGTTTTCGGTCTTTGTTGGTACCCACTGCAGCCTTTCCCTACTGACTCCAAAATTGCCGTGGCTCCCTTTCGTCTCGGCTAGGCTCCTCTCAGAGCCCTTCAATTCGATTTCTGCTGCTCTCGAATACTAATACTGCTCCCGGAGTTGGCCAAGATTACGAAAGAAATTCAGCCTTCCTCTCCTTTTATCCGAGAGCGGAAAATATTTCCCAACAAACGGGTTCTGGCACACTTGACTCATTATTTAGGAAACTGAGAAAATGGGTGGCTGACTTGATCCTCTAGAGAGACAGGAGGAAATTTTTTTTTTTTTGATAAATTTAGCGATACTGTGCAAGATCATGGAACGGGGGAACCAGTCTGAATTTGTAATGACTCCGAAGCAAACAATTTTATTTTCTCTATGAAGTTTAATTCTCTTTTAGACATGTAACTTATCAGGGGCTGACAGGCAGTTTAACACCAAAAGGAAATCCTCATGGGGCCACCCAAACACCACACCCATTCCTGAGAACTGGATGTTCTGCCCACAGAACAGGTACATCTCATTTCTATGAAATATTAGTCATTAGCTAAGGAGAGGTCAGTTTCCTTGAGGACTCCAAAACTGGTTTGTTTTTTTTTTTTTTTTTTGGTTTTTTGAGACAGGGTTTCTCTGTGGCTTTGGAGCCTGTCCTGGAACTAGCTCTGTAGACCAGGCTTGTCTCGAACTCACAGAGATCCGCCTGCCTCTGCCTCCCGAGTGCTGGGATTAAAGGCATGCGCCACCATCACCCGACCAAACTGGTCATTTTGGGCAAGTAGTTTGACTTGGGGGAGAAGCTGTTTTGGTTTTTGAGGTAAGGTAGTCCAACCTGGCCTAGAACTTTCTATGTGGACCAGGTTAGAGGAGTCCTCCTGTCTCTCTACCTGGTGGAATTAGAGGCAAGCATTACCACGCCTAGCGTGGTGCTTGACTTGTAAATCAGGTTTTTTTCCTTTTTTAAGTTATGTGTACGCATGAATTTATGTGTTTCATAGGCACGGAGAAGCCCACAGAAGTCAGGTGAGGATGTGGGTTCTGGGAACTGTACCAGGGTCTTCTGCAAGATCAGTCAGTAAATGCTCTTAGTGAAAGAACCACCTCATCAGAGCTGTTAAGTCAGTTGTATATAAAATAGAAATAAGAACTCCATGAGAAATAAGAGTCCTTTGAGATAAGAGTCCCTCCTCCACCTCCTACAGTAAAGAGCAAAGGCTATTTTATTATGTAAACAAGATGAGCCTAAGTTAACAATGAAAAGGACAATATGGTAGGTATGCCTAAGGCACAGAAATTTACCCAACAGCTCTCCCACTAATGAAATATCCGTTATGTGCTCCAGCTGCCCCACATCCAGTTACTTGTGGATGGTCACTAGGCAACAGGGGCACTTTCTGGCTTCCGGCTCACAGAGGGCAACTTTCCCTTTTTCTCCCCTCCCCTCCCCACAGCTGCATGACCTATTGTTTTCTCCTCCCAACTCAAATAAATCATCCTCGAGTTACCCTGTGCCTTGTTTTTAAAATTCTTTCATTTTGATATCAAAAGCCCGTTTTAAAAGGGGACCCTGTGTCCTACCATGGTAAGGTCAGGGTTGCCTTCATGGCCTCTGGTCTCCAAGTTCCTCTTCTAGCAAGTAGGCTGACTCTTACTGGAGGCTGTTTGTGTCATAATCTAAGGGCCATGCTAGTCTAAGGAACACAAAACAGCCCTTTATTGCTAGCCTGAATTATCCATTGTGCTGGTGTGGACTTGAGGCTTTGGGAAGTCCCACTCCACAATTCCCACTATTTCAAAAAATGTTCTCAAAAATGCAGTCCAGCCTTTATGCTTGTTTTTCTAAGTACATGTATTCCCGTGTCCTTGCAGAGGTAGGAAAAATTGAAATTAGTGAAACTGTTAATGAAAGTTAACGATTAAACAGATTAATGAAACTAAAGTCTGTGAGCTAGGCTAGCAGAGTAAGGTGTAAGAAGCCTGGCAGATGAGACATTCGAGTAAACCTTATCAACCAGAACAATAAGGTGTGCTAAGCTTGGTCTGCTTCCTCCAGACATGCTCCACCTCCCACAGTTTCCAGAACTTCCTAAAAACAGCAGCACCAGCTGAAGAAGCAACAGCCCAAAGCCGAGCCTGTGGAGGAATTTCACACTGAAACCTTAACAAAACTGAAAGCTTGGGAATTACTTTTGTGGGGTGCAAAGTCCAGGGCAAACTCAGGAGTAGAGCAGGATCAACTGTGTGGCCTTCAGCGTAGCCACTAGAGAGGAGATGCTGCTGCCTGGCGTCCATGTGGCTATGCAGTCCTTTTCCTTTGCTTCCTTCGCCCACAGAGGCTGGAGGAAGTAAACACTAGCTCTCCCCATTCCCCTTGCAGCTCACATAGTTACACGGTCCAGACCCAGGCAGAATATATGAGCAAGAAGACACCTGCGAGTTTTGTAAGACAGATTTTAATTTCCTAGTAAGGAAAACTGAAACACAAGGCTTTGAACGTGGATGCAGTGCAGAACTTTGTGTTTGTGAGGGAAAGATGAAGCCCCCACTAATACAGCAGCTCAGACGGTGCTGACCAATAGGACCAAAGCTAGTAGCTGCTCATCTCGGGATTGTGGCTGCAACAGCAAAACAATCCAGTTTTATTTGATTACATTAGTTGGGTTGTCTGCTGCTTGTAGCAGAACACCTGAGAGTCACAGTTTCAACAACAACAAGTGTATTTTGTTTTACTGGGCCTTTGCAGAACTTCACTTGGGTAAACCTCCAGAAAAAAACATGCCCGTTCTTTATGCTTTGGTCATGGGAACTTTTATTAAGTTTCCCAAGACTGAAAGGATAGATGTAATTTCCCAAAAGGCAATTGAAGTGTCTGTTACTAGAAGGGAGGGAACAGAGACCACGCGAGCCAAATCCCCCATTGCAGCAGGTCCCATCATTGTAACTGTCAATGGATGCCCAGACGTTTGCTCTGTTCACTGCCTCCCCGTAACAGCTCAGGGTTTTGCTCTCCTGCCAACCTTTCTCACAGTAACTGTGAAGTAGTTTTGGTTGCAACAGTTAGAAACTTGATCGAGTTAAAAACTCAGAACAGAGAAGAAGGGATTAATAAGGGGAGGACTAACTGAATCCCAAGGCAGAGCTGCCTAAACTCCATACCCTAGCCAGGGAAACGGGTGCCACCTGTGATCTGTCTATAATCTTTAAACACTCGGTGGGTTTGGGTAGAGGTAATACTACTCATATTGAAAACTGAGAATTATGGGAGCAACCATACTGATCATGCTTAGGGTCATGCCTCACACAAGTTCTTAGGCTGTAGCCAGGACCTGTATAGGCCTGAAAGTCAAGTTTACTCCAGAGGCTGAGGTAGGAATAGCAAAGGTTCAAGGCCTGCCTGGGCAGTTTGACAAAAACCTATCTCAAAATAAAAAGGGCTGGAGTTGTAGCTGATTGTAGAGCACTTGGAAGCCACACAACGTTCTGGGTTCAGTTCCTCATACTGTGAAAACAGAAGTGCTCATGCAACCATTGTTGGGATAATCTTTTTGTACACTGTGTGCAAACACGTCTCTGTTTAACCTCACCTGCCTATGGCATTTTCTGATTGGTTTGATTAAGCTAGGCAGGAGAGGATAGGTTGGACTTTCAGGCAGAGATAAGAACTCTGGGAAAGAATGTGAGGCAGGAGATTTCCCCAGCCAGACGTGAAGGAAGTCAGATGTACAATACTGAGAAGAGGTAATAAGCCAGGTGACAAAAAAAAATAGCTTAATATGCACGGGTTAATTAAAGTTTTATGAGCTAGTTGGGAGCAAGTGTAAGCTTTCATAATTAATAAAAAGTCTCAGTGTCGGGCTGGAGAGATGGCTCAGCAGTTAAGAGCATTGCCTGCTCTTCCAAAGGTCCTGAGTTCAATTGCCAGAAACCACATGGTGGCTCACAACCATCTGTAATGAGGTCTGGTGCCCTCTTCTGGCCTGCAGGCATACACACAGACAGAATATTGTATTCATAATAAATAAATAAATAAATAAATAAATATTTTTTTGAAAAAGAGTCAGTCTTGATTACAGCTTCTACTTGCATACCTTAAAAAAAAATTTTTTTAAAAAAATGTCTCAGTGTCATTGCTAGGGAGCTGGCGATCCAAAGAAACCACTGCATTCCGCGCTGAAAGGTGCCAGGTCTTGTTGGGTTCAGAGAGGTTGGGTTTATGAGTTACAACACAAAACTTCAGGTCTGGCTCAGCGTAAGTCACCACCATTCGTCACACCACACCTACATTTCCCTACAACCAGATGAATGGGGATTTACTGTGAAGTCACCACCATTCGTCACACCACACCTACATTTCCCTACAACCAGATGAATGGGGATTTACTGTGTCAAGCATAGCAGGGCTAAGAACCACAGTGCCTCCACCCACCCTCAGGGAAGCTAATCACAGAGAGGAAATGACCCCTCTACAGATTAGGAAGCTTGAGCTCCTGGTTTAGAAGGGTCATCCCCTGCAGGCCATAAGCCATCCTTCCCTTTGCCAGAGGCTCTGCACAGTGACTGGGGCGGTGTTTCAATGGATTACTGTAGGCACTGGTCAGGAAATAAGGCTCTCAGTGGTCATTCTTCTCAATCCCATATAAGATGAGTATATATGAACAGGGGCCTTAGATGAGATAAATAAGATTATTCATCAAAGAATTTTATTCCAATAATGTAAGAAATTGGAAAGGAGCCTTCTGGTCAGTTCCTCTTTCCATCAGGCAGTGGGTTAAGTATGGGGAGATTTGCTGTAAGCCTGAGGCCTCGGTAGCCCTTACAGCCCTGTTCTCTG